AAATGGGGACCCTTTCTTAATGACACATCTATATCACACACACACAAATAACACCAAAGGGCCTAATTAAGTGACTTGTATCTTCGTTAGAAATGGTGGTTGGTATTTTCTTATATGGACTTCCATTGTATAAATTATATAATAATGGAAAGCAGAAATGAGGTAACATTAACATTTATTTAAGCATGGTTTTAATAGGACAGGGCAATTTACCAGTATTTCGATGCATGCTTTGACCCTGGTAGTTAATTTTCTACAAAATTGTTCTGAGCTAATTTATACTTGACATCATTTGGATGTTTTGGCAGCTTCTCTGTTCTTATTACAGCCATTTGCAAGTAGATCAATTACTTAGGTCCCTAGGTCTCTTGAATATATGATGAACAAATATAGAATTACCTATAAAACAATCAGAAAAATACAGGTTTTATTTCTGCACAAGCTTAGAGGTTTGTGGCAACAGTGAGTGATTCTGTAAATGTGAAAAGGATTGAAATTAGGAGTCACTAGGCAATGGATGGCTGATAGAACAGGGTGAGGGAAAGTTGGGGGCCTCCATTTATATGAGTGTGAATACCCTGGTTTCTGCAAACTTCCATTTTCCTCCCCCTTTTTATTTTAATTTGCTCTATGTCAAAAAAACAAAAACAAAAAACAGGAACCCTTAAGGCCAGACATTATCCAACAATTGGAACACAAAAGTTGGTGACAAGAGTTTCGGATTCCATGTACTAGTTTCACTGATGACTCACTGGGAACTTGGTATAAGTCACCTAGCCTTGTGCTCCTTCAGTTCCTGCTGGATGTGTTCAAAAAAGGAGGATAATATTTGATCCTAAAAAATAATTAACTAGAGTGACTGTTTATATTTTCTAACAGGATATTTAATTATGTAAATTTTTGCCACTTTAATAATTATAACCTGCTTGTATGTCTTAATATTTACCCTTTGGCTAAATTCTAAACTTTTACATTAATAAACATATATTTTCTCTCTTTAACTTCACTTTCTAACTCTATGCCCCACGTACTTGGCATCCTTGTTTCGTGGATTTTTTTTTTACTGACAATATCTTTTCATACTGTTTCAGATTGGTAAATCTGTTTCTGCTTTTGCTGGATTCTGGATTCTAATCAAATCCTCTATATTTCATCTTATTTGGATTAGGATTCATTCCCTTAAAATTTACTGCCCGCGTATTAGCCTGCTATTTTTCTTATATGGACAAGATCCATTTATAATAAAAACATAATTTATGTATAACTGAACTAGAAATAATGTATCCCATTTCACATAATTTTTGTTGATGGTCTTCGTCTGTCTTATTTGCATGTTAATTACTCCTCATTAATATATCTACCTTGTATATAAGCTGGGAGAGGAAAAATTTCACCATTCAACTTAAAATCAGAATCTTGCAGCTATGAATGCCCTTAGAGGTCATCTAGTTCAAGCCCCTCATTTTATAGATAAGAAAGTGTGTAAGTCATTTACTTATCTAAGGCCACACAACACTTAAGAGTTGGATCTCCAGCCACTGTTGCTACTACTCAAGATCTAATTAATACATATGCATGCTTTAAATGATGAGTTTGATTAAGGTCAACCCATGCTGGGTTCAGCCTCTAGGTAAGCTTATCTGTTTGTATTCAGATTCTGCACCTTTAATTCAGGCCAGCCAAAATGATAACCTTGTGAACCAGAAGTTCGGATGGAGAACTGGCACAGATCCATCCTCCCACTGAAAATACATATGCCACATAGATGCTGGATAGTCATCTTTGTTTCTGAGGACAACACATCACTTCTCAGTGGCAGCAGTATATTGCACATTCATTTGACATTTAATTTATATCCACTATGAAATAGAATTGCACTTTTTGTATCTAAGGTCCCTGCCCTCAGTGAACCTACAATCTTAGGATGAAGACAGGTGAAACAAATAACTGTGTCAAGAGTTGAATCCTCTAAGTGTTCACATTTTAAAAGCATCCAGTTAAAAATTTCCTTCTTTGTGTCACGGTTTCTTGCAAAACTAACCATTTTAATATATAACCAACAAAGGAAGTTGTTAAGCATATAATGGAAAGTCGGTTATTCATATTTGACAAGGTTTATTTGGTCCATTACTGTCTCTCCTGTTAGGTATACTATTGTGATTAGGTGAAGCTTGTTGGAGGTGGGAAAGCTGAAGTTTTGGAGTGGGGTAGATAAAATAGAAGTAAATATTATTTTTATGTTTTAAATTAGTATTTTTATTAGTATTTATAAGTAATGTGTTCTTTGGGTAAAACATTCAAATTATACTTAAAGGTATAAAGGGCAAAGGGAACATTCTATTCTGGTATGCACACTTAACAGTTCTTTGTTCTTTTTAAATTTTTATTTATTTATTTGAGAGAGAGAGACCTTGCGCAAGTGGGGGAAGGGGCAGAGGGAGAGGGAGAGAGAGAGAATCTCAAGGGGATTTTGTGCTGAGTGCAGTGCCCTATGCAAGGCTCTGTCCCATGACCCTGACATCATGGCCAGAGCTGAAATCAAGAATCAGACGCTTAAGCGTGAGCCACCCAGGCACCCCTTTGTTCTTTTTGAAGAGAAATTTTCTATGCACATAGAAACATATTTCCTCCCACAAATGTATTAATGATTAATATGCTTTTTATTCACTTACCCTAGATATATTTATCCATCAATACATACTGATTTATCTCATTTAAAAAATGTTTACCTACTGTACCTTTGTATGGATATACCATGATTTACTCAGGCAGAAGTTGACCTTTTAAAAAGTTGGAAATATTAAATACTGGGGAGGTGAAATGGAGAATCTATATCTGTATGTGTATTTACCTATCTGATATAGTCACTGTCAGAGTGACTAGGATAGCCACAGACATATAGTAGTCAAAGTTTATTTTTAAATTTTTTTTAAAGCTTTTATTTATTTATTTGACAGGGAGAGAGAGCACAAGCAGGGGAAGAGGCAGGCAGAGGGCGAGGGAGAAGCAGGCTCCGCGCTGAGCAGAGAGCGGGATGGACCTGGGGCTCCCTTCCAAGACCCTGGGATCATGACCTGAGCCAAAAGCAGACACTTAACCGACTGAGCCACCCAGGCGCCCCGCAGTCAAAGTTTATTAAATTAGTAACTATTTTATCTTTGTTGACTGGTAGCTAGAACCCATCAGTATGTTGATTGGTTGCTTTTTGTCTTTTCATTCATAGCTGCTGATAACTTTCTCCCTAACTAACCCGAGGAAGTGGTAAAAGTCAAACTTTTTCCTGAGGACATACTTGGTGCTGTCTGTAATATCTAAATATGGTCACTAGGACCCAACATCCTTGCATTTTAACTCATACGGACTTTCTTGATGAATGCCCCACCCTCCTTGGCTCCCCACTTGGCTTGACTTCCTGTCTTTTATCAGGAGCAATCTATCAAAGACCCTATAATGTGCTCATTACAGAGCAGAACAAATCGAAGTGTTCTACCTCACAATTTAAGGAAGGCAGGGGGCTAGTTTTTGTTTTAAGATAAAAATCTTTCAACAAAATACAAACTCCCCAAAACTTCCTTTAAACCAAACAGCATTGTCACACGCTCACAAGCTCTTATTACTTACACAGCCAGATGACTCAAGATTACTAAATTTCTATTCATAAGGAGTTTGCTGGCCCCAAATCAACATTCAGGCCCTCCCCCATCTTCCTTCTCTCTCCCCTGGGAGACTGACGTTTGGAGCGCTCGCTGCACCACATTTTAAGAGAATGAAGACGATGTGCGTTTGCTGCCCGAACTGTTTGTTCTGGGATTTTATAAAGCCTCCTCCAACCCCCTCCTTTTTAATTTTTTTTTTTTTTGGTGGGGGGGGCGGGGAGAGGAGGTCAGAATCTTTTTGGCCTCCAAGTCTTCCAGTTTGGAAATATATTCTAAAACTGGTAGAGACGAAGGACTTCTGTTTGCTATTTACTATGGAACTGGGTGTTCCTATCAGAAATTAGCTACATCTACATTCCCATCAGTCACTCAGAGTGACACATGGGTGAAGGAAACAGCATAGCCCTGCCTTGGGGGGTTACAGTTGACGCTTCTACCTCTGCACTTGACTCCCCTAAAAAAACGGGCCCACCTTTCCCTTTGGATCTTTCACTTCACAGTCTTTCTGGCAAAACTGGCGGTAAAAAAAGTCATCGTCAAACCTGAGTGGTCCCCCAGGCCTTTCCATTCCCCGAACTCAGAGGCAGTGGTGGCGGCCACCCCCTCCCCCCCCAACTCCTCGCTCTTTTCACACGCGCTCGTGGCAAGGAGAAAACCACTCAGATAAATGACCGAGATCCAGAGCCTTCCCTTTGGGTGGCCTCCCCACAGCGTGAGACGGAGTCCCCGTCGCGGCCCGTTCCCAGCCCTGCCCGTTCGAGGCCCTCCGTCGGCCCCGGTCGTGGAGCGCGCGGCCAGGGCGGGGCGGGCCGGGCCGGGAGAGGCGCGCGG